CCCAGCAGCAATGAGGCCATGGCTTCTTTGTCCAAGATTCCAGTGTCCCCCACCTTGCAGCCATTGCTGGGGGCAGGTGGAGTTGGCTGTGTCTGTCCTCAGGGTTGACGGCATGCTGGGGTCTTCTAACAAGGACCTGTTTCACCTTCTTTCTGGCATGGTCCTGACAGCCAGGCTCTCAACGACTTAATTATAATTAAGTCATAATTCAAGGTCCCCAAAACCAATGGTCAGTACTCACTCAGTCTTTATCTTGACTTAGTAGCAACAACTGACACATAGTATTGTACTTTCTCCAACTCGAAGCACTTCCCAGATACCACACTGCCCTGGTTCTCTTCTTGCTTCGCCTACGGCTGACTCCCTGGACCTCTGAGTCCCCATGACTCAGCCCTGAGGTCTTTCCTCTCCTCCACCTACACCCACCCAGATAGTGATTTTATCCAGGTTCATGGCTTTAAAATGCATCCAGAGACTATCAGCTCCCAAATCATTATCATGGATTCCATATTTTTTAATCTGCCTACTCACTAAAATTTATGCGTAGCTCCCAAATCCATAATCATGATGCTTTTGAGGCTATTTGTGGCCATGAGCAGAGTGGCCAAAACTTTGAGTCGCTCACGGTGCACATTCTCAGGTGAGGTCAAACATGGCAACGCTCTGCTCTCTCCTTTTTGGCTCTCACACTGTAAACAAGTATTGCCTTCATGGGCTAGTGAGCACCCCGTTTTTCACGCTGTTGTGTGTTTTGTTGATTTCACTGTTTAAAAAAGCCCCCAAGTATAGTGCTGAAGTGCTGTCTAGTGTTCCAAAGCACAAGAAGGCCAGGATGTGCCTTATGGAGAAAGTACATGTTTGACAAGTTTCGTTTGGCCATGAGTCTTAGTGCCGTTGGCCATGAGTTCAATGTTAATGAATTCACAATATTATTAAATAAGGTGTCATTGAATAGTAACACACATAAAACAAGGTTACTTATGGATCATTTCTGAAAACGCTGTGCTCAGAGGCCAGCAGGGACCTAACCCTGCTTTGCCTCTAGGGGCTCAGTGGTTGGTGTTCACAGTGACTTTACAGAACACAACTATCACGAGTAACAAGAATAAAGTACATAGTTTCAGAATGGATTTCTTTCCAGAACTCCAGAATCATATTCCAGCTGCCTCTCTGACCTTGCAAACCTCAACAAATCAAAACCCAACCCCCTGATAATATTTCTGCAACTCGTTCCTCCCACAGGTATCTCAATTAAAGGCAACTGCGCCATTCCAAGTGCCTGCACCAAAAATCCTTGGAATTACCCTGGATTTCTCTTTCAATTTTTCAGAAAATCTTGATGACACTACCTGAAAATCACGTCTGGAATCTGACAGCTTCTTACCACTCCCACTCTGACAGCCAGTCCTTTAGAGGGGTCCCGGTTACCTCGGAACCCTCTAATGGCTTCCTGCCCTGCTGAGTAAAAACCACAATTTTGACAATGCCCTGCGAGTCCTGGTCTGCACATGCCCTGCTCATTACTTCTCCGACTTTATCTGCTCTATTCCTGTCTCTGCACAGCCCTGCTCTCCTGCCTCAGGGCCTCTGCACCATCCTTGGAATGCTCTTCCTCCAAACAACAGCGTGGCCAGCACCTCCACTGCCATCAAGTCTTGACCGCGTCACCACCTTCTTAGTGAGAGCTGCCATCATCACCATATTAAAAACTACAACCACCTACACGCAACCGCACTTGCTAATCTCTTGCCTGCTTTATTTTTTTTCCAGACCACTGATCACCACCTAAGGTACTAATTAACATACATAGCTCTTTGTGTATCATCGGTCTCCCTCCCACTCAAATGTAAGTACCATGAGGGTGGAGACTTTTATCTGTTTGTTTTCTTTCTACTGATGTGTCCCCCTGTGCCTAGAGCAGAAGGTAGGCACTAAATGAATAATTCTTGAACGGAGGAATAATGTAGCACTTACTATATATACATTATTCAATGTACCTGTTTGCCCGCTTTCTCTCACAGTAATACTGTGAATATTTTGAAGTCAGAGACTCTGCCTTATTCATATTTGTATTCCCACCATGAAACCCCTGTGCACAGTACCTAATAGGAATTCAATAAGTGCAGGTTGAACGAATAGAAGGGGAGAAGAGAAAGAAAAAACTGCTAATTTTCTGAACATTGGGGCTTTTAGTCAATTAACAAGCAGATGTGTGAAAAATGGATAAGATATAGCCCCTGCTCTCGAAAAACCCACAGAGAAGTCAAGGAGAGACACAAATAAAGATGGACCCTGAGACGATGTAATCAGAGCTGTGATGAGAACAGTGTCAGGAAAAGGGCTAGGATGATCAAGGAGAGGATGGGTGTTGGGAAAGCATTCAGAAAGGGGTAACGTGCAAGCAGGGCTTTGACAGCTGAGTAGGAGTTTTCCATGTAGACTGTAAGGTAGGAAAGCCAGCCCACTGCCCAAGGTATGTCGACATAGACACAAAATCCCCAACATGGCCCCTTCCTTGTTCTAAAAGGTCTTCCTGGAGTCTCAGTGCTCACACGTGAAGAAACAGAATTGCTATATTCCAACGATCCTCCTCTTCCCCTTCCCCACTCACAGTAAACTTGGTATCTGATAAGAGAATTACCGGATGGCCCCCCTTGCCTGCATTTAGGGTAGTAAGAACAAGGTGCCACATCTGAATATTGTTCCCAGTTCCCAGACTCATCAGCGCCTGACATCTAAACAGAACCAGACCAAACGATGGCAACTACTTAGAAACCCAGGGAAACTGCCAGTCCGTGGGCTCTGCCAAGAAGCAAAAAAGCAAAAATCAATTTAGAAAGTGCTAGAGCTTTCCAACATCAGAGCCAAATATGAGAACAGTGTGATGCATATGTAAATATGGGCGTTCTTTGTCAGAATATTAAATCACAGCTCCAGAGGCAACTTCCCAAAAGGGGAAGTTGGGCAGCCACCGCACCTTCCTCAGCCTCTCAACCTGGCGTGGCCTGGGAACCGGAGTGCTGAAGAAGCAGCCCCACCTTGGCAGGACCCTGGACACCGTGGCCTCATACACCTGCCCATTTTCTAATGTCTGTGGTTGGAACAGGCTTTCTTCCTCCCCACCTTTTAAGAGAAGTGAGAATAAGATTGTCTCTTCGTTTGCATTTGCTGCTTGCCTGATGGCTTGGACTGAGCTGGAGAAATTCCACACACACCACACACGCTCACATTTCTGCCACTGCTCCCCACCCCACCCAGGCATGCACACGCATTTACACATGCGATGCAGCCACAATTTTAAGTGTCCCTGACAGGGCCTAGGCTGACCCTAAGCCTAGGTCTAGGTCTAAGCCTAAGCCTAAGCCTAAGCCTATTTTTACTGTCCTAGAACAGAGATAGCTCGCCATGCCATCATTCCTATTACGGCCTCTCCTGGCCTCTTAAACGGGATCAGAACCACCTCTTCTTCTCTGTCTAGTGCATACATACAACCCAGGGAACAACCCTCACCTGAGACAGTCAAGAGCTAAGCCGCATGGAGCATACCTTCTCATCCACTGGTACATTATTTCCATCTTTATCTCTTCTTTCTAAACCTCCTTGTCTCATGTTATTCCCTCAGCCTGCTCTTTTCTCCTCTCCTTTGAGTTCCTTTAAAAATGCGGCAGCTGTGACATAACAACCATTGTTATGCAAATGCCATAAGGCTGTGCTGTGGAGTTTCCCACAATGCTCTGGGGCCCCAGGCCCATTTAGGGTGAGACCTGCTTTCCCCTGCCTTCCTGGGAAGGTGGCGTGGTTCTACCTGAGGACAAACAGGAATGATGTTGGCCACATAACATGCCCTCCTCTCTTCCAGGGCAGGCTTCCTGTTCTCATTAAGACCATCATGGTTTGCATGATGAAAATTCAGCCTTAATCTCCATTTTTTTAAAAGTCTTTTCCAACCTCAGTTTTGACCCTGTTCTTAGACATTCCTAGCCTGTACCCTCTCCCTGGGCTTCCCCCGCCCCGCCCCGCCCTGCAGCCTTTTCCAACAGCTGATGCTTTTACTCGTCCCCTACATTTCCTTGGCTGGCTGCCTAAATCTCCTCCCTGTCCCCTTAACCCAGTCCCAATCCCTCTGCGCCCTTGTTACTCTATCACACACCCCCGTTTTATTTTCTTCTCCTTGCAGCACTTACCATGATCTTAGACAACCCTGTCTATTTATTTGTTTTTTTGTTGAATGTCTGTTACTCCCAACTAAAATGTAAGCTGCACGAGGGCACTCTACCTGTCTTCCTCCCTGCCGTCACCCAGTGCCTAGAACAGCACCTGGTAGATACATCGCAGGCCCTTTCATATACATTTGCTGAATGAATGAATATATTCATGTAAATGAAAGTCTCAAAAACTTCAATTCCAACAGCCTTTCTCCAGGTCCCAGAAGACAGAAGGTGAATCTCAGGACCCATGTGTTGAGATCTGTCAGTAGCCGTCTTGACATTCCCTATGTTTAGTACAAAAAAATCTCGGCTTCTGATTTTAAGGAATACTTTCATTCTTGGCTTCTCCAGTACAGATCAAGGCTGGTTAATTCAAGAAAGTGACGTTTTTAAGGTTTGAACCAGAGTCCTCCTGTCAGCATTTCCTTTCCATCTGCTTCTATCTCAACATTTTAAATGTTTTATTTGTGTCTGCACCTTATTGTCATCTCAGTGTCTCACTGTAAATCATATGAAAACATATATACGCGCAACGCTTCTGGCATCAGAATCTGGGAAGTCATCCAAATCAACTCCTGGCCCCCAGTCAGACCCACACCCGAATGAAACAGGATTTCTGCCCAACTCTTAAAAGGTTCCGAGGGGAGTCACTGCCTGTAGCTCCTTCCAGTGTCTCTCACTGTTTTTATTCTTCTTTTAAGGGACATGAAGGCCGCTGTGATCATGTGCCAGCCTCACCGGCTTAAGAAGACTAATGAAGGTGACATGCAGGGACACACACACTGTCCTTACCAACGTAGCCGGGGGTCCCACAGGCCGTGGACATCACATCTCCTTTGCCCTCCATTTTTGACAGTCCAAAGTCACTGATCATTATTTTGGACTCCTCGTCTTGACTGTAGTACAACAGATTTTCAGGCTAGAAAGAAAATTTAAAAAATTTACAAACTGCATTTAGAGCTGGTTAACTGTGGCAGACTCAGCAAACCACAAAATCTACTTACTACTCAAGAACATACTTGACCTTTAAACATAGTAAACACGGTAAGAAAAGCAGCCTTTAATAATGCACTGCAGAGCACTCTGCACAGCGGAGGGCACTTACTGGTTTCCAATAAACGTTAGTCCTTGTCCCCTTATGAGTATTTTCCCTACTTAAAAAAAAAAAATTAATCCTATTTGGAGGCAATCCAGTGTACACAATAATAGAAACGGAGCCACTTTAAAATGGAGTCAGAGCGGCCGTCCCAGAGGAGATGCCTTTTGCATCTTATGCCTCAACCCTTGTAATGTTACAAACAGGGCTGGGCCTAGAATACCATTGTTTCCAAAGAACTGTTTGCAAAGAGAGCAATGAAGCAGTTATTACGACTACTGGGCTGAAAATTAAAAACATTATTTGGAATTAACATCACTATATACTTTCACCTGTACCATTAGAAACGCCTTCCTTCTATTGATATAATTGTTCTCCTTCCCTTTCTCACAAATACCCCTAGCCTTTGTCCCCTAATCGGAACAGTATTTGGGCTCCTGCCTGAATTAATGATACCCACATATTCTTGTCCATCTCAAATAAACACTTGTCTCGCATTTGGAAAGGCCTTTTTATTTTTAGATTAGCACTAGAAAGATGATGCCTCTCAGACTTGTCCATTCATTTTCTGGGTTCAGGGAAAGGGGAGAGACCCAGAAGTAAAGTTACTTTGGCAGGTGCTATTTTGTTTTTATCAGAACCTTGTTAGCAACTTTTCTCTAACCCAAGGGTCTCTCCCCAGCCCTCAGTAACGCCTGGTTCTGCAGTTCTGGCAGATGAGTCAGCTGACACCTGCTAGTTCTGCTCCCTGGGAAGCAGAGGAATGTCATCAGGGAATGAATGGGACCTGGAAGATCCAGCACGTTTTAGCCACGTGTCCTTAAATATCCCGAGCTTCCACTGGCTGTGCTATAAAACATGGGCTGTGATGGTCCCTCGTTCGCTTCCCTGAACAGGACAGGGCAGAGCTTGGCTGCACCGCACCTCTCACCCAGCGGAGGTCTGAGCACAGTCCTGTCCCCAGAAGGGCTCCCTCTCTGCACATCTCCTGCCTGGGAGGGAAAAGGGGCCTCGCCCAGGAATCCAGGGGGAGGCTGGGAAGCCTCATTTGCATAGTGTTTATGTAAAATCAGGGAATCTCAAGGTTCCTGGCAAAGAATGGGGGCAGGACTTAGGGAGCAGAGGGAGCTGTCACCGCCTCAGAGCTCTCCCCGCACTCCCAGGCTGAGAACCTGACACGGGGCACTCATGCTTTTCCTTTTTTTTTTTTTTTTGGTCTATTTTTGAAGAGTTGCTTAATGAATGAGGTTGTCACTTATAATGGAGATAATGGAAGGACTGACACCTCTGCTGTCTTCCAGTTACAACCCCCACCAGGAAAATTCTGAAGACGTACAGAGTGAAAAGTAATCATGTCCCTCATTTATATTAAACCTTAAGGGAAATGCGACAAGGAGAATCAGAACTGGGGAACTCATTTGCCCATCCATTTCATGTCTGGCTCTGGTCCCCATCCCAGAAGTCAGTGGTTTGTGGTGAATCTTTGGTTCCTCAGTATTAAATTTCAGGAACCATTCTTATGCGGAGTGACTTCTCAGCCTGGCTGTGCAGCAGAATCAGCTGTGAGGGCACTACGTGGCTGAAGATTCTGTTCTTCAGTGGATTTGAGGGTGGGCCCAGGCCTCTGGATTTCAGAACTCCATTCTGAGGTGCAACCACTGCTGTGGAGAAACTTTGACAACTGACCAAGACTCTTTTTTTGGCCAATCCTCGGTCAGGTTCCTCTGAGCTCTCTTCTTGATTAGACCTTGATGCTGGCCTCCGTGTCCCTCCTGTCCTTGCCGGGCCTGCACAGCCTGGTCTTTGCAAGAATCCTGCTATGTCAGTTTAGAGAGAATCCCTCACTCTAGATAACTGGTCAAGATCTTCAGCCCCCATCTTCAATGTTAAAAAAAAAAATCCAGATCTTGTTAAAGATGGTTAGGAAGACTTATTCATGGGGAATACTGCAATGGGGTTTGCAGGAGGGGAAAGTGACTTGCCTCCACTCTGAATAAGGACAGTTGGAGATTTATGGCCGAGGAACAGGGTGGGCGGTCAGTGGACAAAGAATGACTAAGAGGGAACATCAAGGATAAGGGGGATTCTGGCTATGCTGACTGGACAGGAGCTTTGCTGAAGGCAGGCCAGCGTGGTTAGATATGGAGGGCAGGGCCCAAGGAATCTGACTGGATATCAAGGGTGGGGAGTTTTGATAAATCACTAGGATTCTTGCTAAGACTGAATTATGTGGGCAGAGCCAATGGACTCAGGATGAGCCCAAGGCTGGGGCCTAGTCAAAGAGAAGGCTCAAGGGTCTCCACCTCAAATGTGCTCAAAAAATCTCCTTTGTCTGTCAATGTCTAAGTGTTTGTCCTGTCTTTAGCAAGAATTCCCCTACCCTTGATGTCCCCTCTTAGCAACTTTCCATCTGTGATCGCTCACTCTGGGCTATAAACATCCTCCCCCTCCCTTGCTGAATTAGGAGTTTAGTTGGATTTTCTTCCCTTTTGTGACATTGTAATACCCTCTTGCAAATCATCTTTTTTTTTTTTAAATCCTCCCCCAAGGGTATGTTTATTCGTGTGAAAGAGAGAGAGAAACATTAATGTGAGAGAGAAACATCAATCCATTGCTTCCTGTATGTGCTCTGACCCGGGCGGGATTGAACCTGAAACCTAGGTTATGTGCCCTGGCCGGTAAATCGAACCTGCAACGTTTTGGTGTACAGGACGATGCTCCAACCAGCTGAGCCAGCTGGCCAGCACTCTTGCAGCAGTCTTGAATAAAGTCTTCCTTACCATTTAATAAAAGTCAGAATAATTTTTTACTTTATCCTTTACCCCAAATAATAACACAAAAAGAAACGGCATGTAACAGTCACTGTGAAATTAATTCTGTGGATGAAGCATGAGATCAGAAGAAAATCAGTGTCTGCTTGCAATGAGTTTTAAAAGAAATGAAATGGGCAAATCGATCGTTGAAATAAGAATACTGCTTAGAAAGTGGGGGGGGGGGGATGATCTGATCAAAAAGTGCATGTGGTTTGTGTTTCCTCTGAATGTTTCGGGGTTACCCTTTGATGAACAGTAAGGATCCATCATGGGTACAGAGAGTTTTCTTGAAGTGTCTGATTTACAATCTTTCTTGTCCCAGCACTTCTGTGCTGTCAAGCCAGTGATGAAGAGATTGCCAAAGGGCCCCAAATCCCTTCTTAAACATTCCTCCTATAGAAGATTCATTTGGGTCCATAAAGAGCTCTTTTGAAGGACAATTATCCTTAAGGAGGATTCAAGGGACTGGTCATTCACAGTTAAGATCAATACCTTTAATTGACTCAAGACTAGTAAAGATAGCAGGGCTCTTTGGTGGGGAAGGGGGGGTACAGGAAAGAGGGTGGGAGAGAGGACAGGCCAGAGATAATCTGGATGGAGCCCCAGCGGGCAGGAGGAGGGCTGTGGGAGAGGGGAGGGGGCAGGGGGAGATCTTGCAATTCTACCTGGGGTGCTAGGAGACTCAGGACTTTATGCCATTTTTGTAAGACAATTGGTAGCCAATCTCTGAGTTGGAAGGCCAATCCCTGAGTAGCAAGGCCAATCCTGACCCTTTAATATTCACATGACAATGTTTTAAAAAATCTGAATCAACACTTCCTGTAAAGTTTATGTTATATGTTATCGATCACCTCCTAATCTAATATACTAATTCTCAATTGGAATGATTGCGCAGCTCCCCCCCCCCACCCCCCCTGCCACCAGGGGACAGTTGGCAATGCCTGGAGGCATTTTTGGCTGTCACAACTCCAGGAGTGGTACTAGAATCTGCTAGACAGAGGCCAAGGGTGCTGCTTAACACCCTACAATGCACAGGATAGCCCCACCACAAGGAGCGGTCCAAGCCCACGTGTCACTAGTGCGGGGCTGAGAAGCCCTGCACGAATCTGAGGAGACAGCGGTGGACAATTCCGGGCTCAGTCCCTTGCTTTGGAAAAAAAACAACTGATTGTAGCCTCCCGGGTCAAGAAGACACAATACCTTTCTGGAGGAAGAAGGATGCATATATTAGTTTGGGGGTGGGGCAGCACCCCAGGATCATCCTTCAGTTTTAAAATAACCTGATCATCTTCTCCATTGCTTTGGCCTGGATAACATAATTTTTAAAAATTTTCTCAGATGTTTATGAAAATTTAACATCAACTTCCTTCACATAGACCAAACTCCTTTGTGCCTTTGAAAAGAAATCACAAAAAGGCCCTAAAATTGCAATGTTTTTTCCACAATTATAAGCCTGGTGGGTGATCTCAAAGCTCCACAGGCTGGAAGCTGCAAGTATTTCTCCAAAAGTGTTACGTGGGAGTGAAAGATAATATCTCCCATGCAGCCAATCTGCCTTTCTATATGGGAAGTAAACATTGCCCTTCTGGGAAATGCCATATCTGCTTAGAAATTATTTCTAATAAGCACAGGCAACCAGCCTACCACACCGCATCTCTGTAGTTGCCACACTAACTTGTTCAGAGGCGGATGCCTGCTGTGTTCTGGAAGCACAGGATGGGTATTTAGTGAGGGAGTAAGAGGGCAGAAAAGGCACTGCTGACTGGCACAGAAGTGCCAGCTGGGTCGTCTTCTCTACTAAGCCCTTACCTCACCCTCTGAAGGGTCTCCAGGTCATACGATTAGCTAATTGTGCTTACTGCCCATGTCACCTGCAAGAAGCCTCCAAGGGGTGAAGGGTAAGGACTTAATCAACATTCCCAAATACCCTCATCCGGTGGTTTTTTCAAGAGTGGTTCTCAAGCCAACATCAGCATCATCTGTAATCCCCCTTATAAATGCAAGTTCTCAGGCCACACTGCAGACCTACAGAATCAGAGCTTCTGGGGGTGGGAGCAACAATCTGCATTTTTCCAAGCCCACCAGATGATTCTGATGTAGACTTACGCTTGGGAGCCACTACCCTAGTCAATGGAAAATGGTAACATGGAGAGAAGAAAACTTTACAGTGAGTCCTTATGAAAGGAAAAGCCATACCATCTTATACCTTAACTCCCAGTACCAGACAACAGGAGATGGTGAAGTTCCATTTTCACTCATCTTTAGGATTTATTCTTTAAATTGGTTTAGATTTCCCACAGTTACATATATGGCTTCAACACAATATGATCTGCGTGTTTATGATATGAATGGTGGGTATGCATACTGGGGTGGAATTTCTGCTTTGACTGGTGCAGTGAACTCTGGGGCCACATTCCAGTGTTGGGCCAACAATGTCAATTATACTGTTCTTCAAACTGATATGTTCGATATCTACCCTTCAGTATCAACATAGACCCAGAGAGAAATATATTTCAAAGGTGTCTAAACATGGCCCAGCTCCTCCAGTGCTATTGAGTGAAAACTCACAAGGAAAAGGTAAGTGAGGAGCCACAGGACATTGTAGGAGTCTGTAATTGTAGTTCACTTAAGCTCTTTCCTGATAACCTTCCATTGCCCCTCTCTTTTGTCTCCTGCCCACTACCTACTCTCCCCTCCTTTTTTTTTTTTTTTTTTCTTTTCATACAGCCTGATGTGCTGACACAGAGCTGGAATAAGGAGAAGAATGAAGAACTGGAGTGGAAAAAGGGTTTTTGTGGCCTTGAACAAAACTTCCTTTTAGATAGGCTTGAATCAATACATAACCTACCTTTTGGTGGCCCTTTGGCTGCATAATGACTATAAATCTTCCAAACAGTCACCAGCCTCCTTGATCTTCATCTTCTTTTAAGCTACTTCTGAGCCCCAAAGGCCCAGACAACTAACAGCACACAAACGCCCATCATTCATTCCACCCATATTTACATCAAGGCAACCCTATTCCACCTTTGGAGCCACTCTTCTTGGACAGGTGCATTATGGGTTGGAGAGCAGCTGGAGGATGTTGCTAAGTGACAGCCTCACCTTGAGGTCCCTGTGGACGATGCCCATTCTATGGAGATAGTAGACAGCATCCAAGACCTGGCGGATCAGAGTGCTAGCATCTTTCTCGGTGTAAAATCCCTTCTCCACTATCCGATCAAACAGCTCTCCACCAGACACACTGTTAAACAAAGAGAAAAGAACAAATTAGAAGTTTGAGAGAACTGTCGAATTATTTAGGAAAAACTACCAATAAGTGCTTTTAATATGATAAAAGAACAAAATTTTATTTCAAAAATTAATCCATTTTCAGAATTAGATTTTGCCTCACATATTCCCCAGAAGCTCTTCCAGGGAAGTGCTTCTATGTCATGGTGGTTCAAATGTCAGCAATAAAAATAAGGGATGAAAAATAAGCCCAGACCCAGAGATTAGCCAGGCTTGACAGCTGTCTCTGCCTCCTTGCTGCTGTGACAATGTAAAGTCAGCATCATCAGATACAGGGACATGATGCTGCCTAAGATGTCTCCTTTGCACAAGAGAGTATCCTTAAAGGACCCAGGATGATTCTCCATAGTTACATATATGGCTTCAATTGGTTTAGATTTCCCATAGTTACATATATGGCTTCAACACAATATAATCTGCGTGTTTATGATATGAATGGTGGGTATGCATACTGGGGTGGAATTTCTGCTTTGGCAAAATTTGGGAGGTGCTCTGGGCAAAGGATTAGGAGGTGCTATGGGCAAAGGACTGAGTAGCCAACAGGGTGTCTGGGGTTTTGACTAAAATATGCTGCTAATATGCTGAGTGCATGAACATTCATTGAGTCTTTAAACTTCAGTTTTTTTAATCTGTAAAATGAGTAGATTAATCTAGGCAACCATTTCCAACACAGGTTAGGGGGATGTTCTTGGAGGCATCAGAAACTGAAAGCTACATGGAATTTCTTTTTAAAAAAGGGGGATTTCTGGTCAAGATGGAGGCATTGGTATACATGCTTCACCTCCTTGCACAACCACAGAAGAATCACATCTAACCTCAACACAAAAAACACCCAGAACTGCCAGAAAATCGAACTGTATGGAGTCTGACAACCAAGGATTTAAAGGAGTCCTATTCATCCAGATGGGGAGGAGGGAGCAGAGATGGAGAGCCAGAGTGAAGAGGATGCAGAGAGGCACAGAGAGGAGGTGGTGGTGGTGGAACAGGTCGTTCCACATTCACGTGGGGTGGCTAAAAATCAGGAGGGTTACCTTGGGAGCAGGCCATCCTGGCCCCAGGCCAGACTGCACCACCTAGGGTTCCAACATCAGGAAAAAAAGCCTCACAACTCCTGGCTGTGAAAATAGGAGGGGTTGGAGCGGTGGGAGAAACTACCAGTCTTGCAGGAGAGCCTGTTTAAAGGGCCCACGTGGCCCTAGAATATACACAAACCCATCCACTCTGGGAATCATCACCAGGGAAGAAGCTAGAACGCTGCCCATTGCATAGAGAAGTGAGTGAAGTGACTGGAAATGGGGCGAGTGCTGGACAAACCCCCAGAAGCCAGGCAGCAGCACTGTCCTCTCTCTGACCCCTCCCCCCACACAGCCCCACAAAGTGGTGAAGTGGGTTGCCCCACCCTAGCAAATACCTACGGCTCCGCCCCTTACAACTTAACTGGTGCACTAAGACAGGGAGTCAAAGCAGCTCTACCTAATACACAGAAACAAACACAGGGAGGCTGCTAACTTGGGGCAACAAAGAAATATGGCCCAAATAAAAGAACCGAACAAAACGCCAGAAGAACTAAGTGAAACGGAGATAGCCAACCTATCAGATGCAGAGTTCAAAACACTGGTGATATGTATGCTCAGAGAAATCACTGAGTACAGCAAAAGCATAAGGGTAGAAATGAAGGCTATACTAAGTGAAGTAAAGAAAAATCTACAGGGAACCAACAGTGAAGGGAAGGAAGCCAGGATTCAGTTTGGAACATAAGGAAGAAATAAACATTCGACCAAAATAAAATGAAAAAACAAGAATTCAAAAAACAAGGAGAGTATCATAAGACTCTGGGGCATTTTCCAAAATGCCAACATCCGAATCATAGGGATGCCAGAAGGAGAAGAGCAAGAAATTGAAAACTTATTTGAAAAAAATAAAGAAAGAAAACTTCCTTTATTTAGTGAAGAAAATAGACATACATACAAGTCCAAGAAGCACAAAGAGTCCCAAACAAGTTGGGCCCAAAGAGCAATGCACCAAGACACATCATAGTTAAAGTGTCAAAGGTTAAAGATAGATAGATAGATAAAGATAAAGAAAGATAGAGAGAATCTCAAAAACAGCAAGAGAAAAGCAGAGAGTTACCTAAAAGGAGTTTTCATAAGAACTGATTTCTCAAAAGAAGTTTGCAGGCAAGAAGAGGCTGAAAAGAGGTATTCAAAGTCATGAAAGGCAAGGACCTACAACCAAGACTATCCAGCAAAGCTATCATTTAGAATGGAAGGGCAGATAAAGTGCTTCCCAGACAAGGTAAAGCTAAAGGAAGTCATCACCAAACCATTATTATATGTAATGTTAAACGGACTTATTTAAGAAAAAGAAAATCAAAACTATAAACATTAAAATGACAACAAACTCACAGTTATCAACAACTGAATCTAAAAAACAAAAACAAAAAGAAACTAAGCAAACAACTAGAACAAGAACAGAATCATAGATATGGAGATCATTTGGAGGGTTATCAGCTGGGAGGGGACAGGAGGAGAATGGGAGGAAAAGTACAGGGGTTAAAAAGCATAATCAGTAGGCACACAATAGATGGGGGGGAGGTTAAGAATAGTATACGAAATAGAGAAACCAAAGAACTTATATGTACGACCCATGAACATGAACTAAGGAGGGGAGATTGCTGGAGGGAAGGGGAGTACCGGGCAGAGGAGGGCAAAGGGGGAAACGTTGGGACAACTGTAATAGCATAATCAATAAAATACACTTTAAAGAAAAAGAAGCAAAGAAACCGACACTCTATTACATTGCTTTGCTCTGGGGTCTGGTAATAAAATTTTAATTTGCTTTGAATTTCCACTTGCATTAAATATTTTTTAAAATAATTATCCAAAAGGGGCCTGGAGAAAGAAAGGTCTTTTTGGAAAAGGTCAAAAAGCCTGGTGAACAATCTCCATAGGCCCTTTCATTTTGCTATTTGATACTTCTCTGAGTTTAACAAAGTAACAGAACTGTACAATTCTGAATAGATATAAGTGAACAAACAATGTAGCCCTCTGAGTCTTAGAATATACTTCTCTAAAAAAACAGTGTTTTTTTCCAAATAATTAAGCCATTGTGGAAATTAGCTTCAAGGGATATATTAACAATATTTTTTTCTATTAAAAAAGAAACAAGTTTTCTAAAAACAAAATGAAAAATAGATTTAGTAAAATATTAAACACATAAAACAGTTTCATAGACTTTTACAGCTTTAATGGAGTAAAAGACATGCCCTGGCAGTAACACCCACACGTTCATAAACCCACAAGGCTATGATTCATTTTCTGCAAGTCATGGCAATTAGTGGCAATAACTAAACCACTGATAATTTCTTTTCATAAAGCCAATAAAGAAAACACAGTTGCATCTATAAAAGACCTGTGTATTATCTATGTGTCATTCCAAGCAATATTGCACTTGGATAATGTCTTGTTTCCAAAGCAAACTGAGCAATCTAGATAAGAAAGGAAAGATGCTTGGGAGAAATAAAAAGCAATTCAAAGAGTGAAAAGCAATCAAACCAACTAGGCAGTGACTACATTTTGACGATCACGTTTTGATGACCCCTCCTTAGGCAAACCGAAATCCCAAAGCATTCCCTCTCGGCCGCTGACACCCAGGTCTCACCAGTCTGCATTTTTAAGAAGCTTCTTCCAATGAGTTTCAATGTCTGAAACTCTGCAGAGCTAGGGGAAGTAGGACAGAAGATGTACTGCTGCCAGGGGCAGGGTGCCCAGATACATTCACTTGACAATCATCTATTTGACCATTCACTCAACATTCATAGGGTGCCCATTATTTGCCAGCTACTGTGCATGGTTGGTGTCAATCAAAGCAGCATTAGCTATGAAGGAGGAAACTGTTTTGATCGAGTCCCTCCTCATCCTCTACCGTCAGCCCACCTTCCAGTAATGGCCTGGCTTGCTAGTGTTCCAGTGCTTTCTCAGCACTGGTCTACCTGCTACTCACACCCTCCTCTCTGAAGGCTGCTGGAGGGCCTCCGGGGAGATTGCCCACCCTCTCCCTACCCCCACCTTCCACCCCTAGTACTGCACGACCCACACTGCCGGATCCTCTCCCTCCCTCAAAACTGATCTTTCCTGCTTCTCATTCTCTCAAAGTCCCCTCTTCTGCTCTGTGAAATATAAGGTGTTAATAGATTCTATTGAAAAATAACATTTGCACTGCAGTAGGTCAGCAATGCAGTTAAGGATTAAAGGTTCAGAGTTGAAGTGTAAGATACTGCTGTAGTATGTCATGTCACAGAGTCCCAAGTCTCTCCACATTTGGTATTTCCCATATTAAACTGTCAGTTGCACCGGTCTTTATTTTTCTGAACACGGCTCAGAAAGAATTGGTTTCCTTAGAAACCAAGGCATAGGGGAAATGTTTAAAAACTTGCCAATTAAAAAAATGTGACAATACTAATAAAAATACCTCATTTCGCAAATCACTATATGCTTTTCAGAAATCTCCTTAACCATACAATTCAAAGACCTGAAGTTTAAACACTCCCATATTCATGTGTTAAAGCCCTAACTCTTAAAATGCTGGTAGTTGGAGGTGGTAGATCTTCGGGAAGCGATTAGGGTTAGAAATCAGGAGGGTGGGGCCCCCATGATGGGATTACTGAGTGACCTCATAAGAGGAGGAAAGACCAGTGCTCGCTCTCTCTGCTATGTGAGGGACACAATGAGAAGGTGGCTATTTGCAAGCCAGGAAGAGCCTTGAACAGGAGCCAAATCTGCCAGGACTTCAATCTTGGACTTCCCAGACTTTAGAACTGTGAGAAGTACATTTGCATTGTTTAAGGCACCCAATCTCTGGTATTTTGTTATGGCAGCCTCAGCTAATTAGACAGCCACTCATTTCAAAGCCACTTGTGAACAACCAGAATCCCAGAATCACTAATGAGGACAT